CTTTCCCACTAAAAATGCCCCCAAAATAACTAATCCATGTCTCCAGTATAGTATTTTCTTACGCAGTTTCATATTAGGGCTCTTGTTTGTAACTTAGCTAAAAGTTTCACATGCTGGGTTCAAGAACTATACGTAGCAAAAGAGGGGCTTTAGCCATTTTAATGCTGGGAGAGAATTTCCGATTGGCAGCAAAAGGGAATTTAGGCCCTCTTTTTTCACAGAAAATGTTTCATGTCAGTGGTGACAGTGCAGCCTTCGCTCACTGTGCTGTCAGTGTCTGAACAGTGACCTGAAGAGGGCCTCTGATCATGAGATGGTTGGTCATCCTTGGTGTCTTTGGTCTCCATACTAAAGATTGCTTACAGGTTCATCATCCACTCATGTCTGTAATCCTTTGTTCATGTGGATATTGGTCTAAAAGAAGTCTGGCTATAACGATTGATTCCTCTTAATTATGTTGCCAGATCTCTTAGCTTCTAGATTAGGTGGGATGCCAGAATAGGTGAGGCTGTTTCCCCTTATGAAGATACCAGTCCAAGCCTTGCTCTTGGCTTGGGCTGAAGTCTGATCACAGCTGCTAGAGCTTTATGTGAGTACTTAGATTAGACTTAAAAATGGACAGATCTGATGTCAACACCTGTATTGCCTTGTGTTTGATTTACTCCCAATGATCCGTCTAGAGTAAGGTGGTAGTAGTAATGCAGAAATCTAAACAATAAGTTTAAGAATCCATTTATGAGATACTCCTTTCAGCTCAGACACTTCGTGTTCAATGTACACTTTGTTTTACCAGAAGTCTGGTTTGCTAATTGCACAGTTGATTTTTACTGACATCAACCAAATTAGGATAACATTTCATCCCTGCTAAATTTGTGTCCTGTTTAGTACTTTCGGAAAAGAGAAGTAATTAACTACAAACCTAAATAGAATACTGTTTATCAGTTGGAATAATTGTTTATCAGTTGTAATTTTTAGATCCTAAAGTGACCATCCAGGTGAACTAAATGAGAAGTGGGAAGCAGTAGTACAGACTGAATGAACATCATTCGCAATAGCAGTGTATTTTTTTCTTACTGTTTTCTCGAAGTTACCAAAAAAGTTACTTCTCATTAGACCAACGTGCCTTGTAAATCATCGAGGAGTTTTTAAGTGTTAGAAAAATAGGGAATTTGGTGGATTGTTTTGTTAACTTCTTACAGCCCTGGGGTTTGGCTGAGAACTTTGGCATTGAGCCATTATTTTGGGCACTTTGGGCAATGTTGAAATGCAAAAGCAAGCAGAGAAAATACACAAATACTTCTTATCATCATAGTGCTTTGATTATAACTGCTAGAGAGACAGTTTATAGCTCAAACCAAAAAATCCAAATAAAGAAACCATTCAACCATTAGGTGTAGCTCATAAAAAGTGGAAAACTCACGCTTGAAAGTCAAAACTTCTGTTTTGGCCACAGCTACCTCAGCACATGTTTTTCTGGCTGCTTTGGATGCAAGTACAGTAGGCAGCAGCTGGGTTCATTCTGCTCTGAAAATCAGCAAATCAACACATGATGAACATGTGCTGCAGAATAAAGTTTCTCTATTTGAGAAATTTGGAGCAGGTTTTGCAGGTTGGCTCTATCAGTTAATACTGAAATTGGCAGATTGATGAGGAGAATCAAGAATCAATAGTTTTCCTTGTTCATAGTGCACAACAAGAAAGTCAAATATATAAATGTACTATTAAACTGCTTATTCAGTTAAATATTGTTTAGGATTCCAAAAATTGTGCCAATAATGCAAAGTTATTGTAAACTGATCAATAATTGGCTTTGCGTCACTTTTTGAGACCTGAAGATTCACAATTTAACATATAAACGTGTACAGAAATTTTGAATAAATTTTGAATTGAGCAAAGAAAAGCTCTGTAGTCTTAAAGCCTAAAATAGATGTCACTGTAGATATTAAGCAGCCCTGGCCCCATTTCCTTCATCATCACCTTAGTATTTTCTTACTCCTAAATAAAATCAGAAGAAAAGAAGTTTTAATGTATATGAAAGTACAGACCCGCATAGTCCTATCAGATATCCCCTCTTAATATATAATTTTTTTTGAGTATTTTCAATATGAATAGTGTAATCTTAAGATGTGCTGAAACATAAACAAAGTTCAGCTGGGAAACTGAATTATAACAACCCCATGTTTTTGATGGTGAAGATTATCAGACTGAGTACCAACATATTCCTGAAGTCTTTCTCAGCAGCAGTATTGACAAGAACAGGGTTTGAAACAATTTTATGTACTAAGGAAAGGTACAGGAAGGGTTAAGTCATCTATCTTGAAATTTCTTCCACTTTATGAACTAGTAGTCATGTAGAATATGCTTTATGAACTCAATCCAGAGCATGTTTAGGGAAATTTAGAAAAAGGCATTTTTCTCAGAGGAATATTGGTCATTTTGTTTCTCAGTCACTGAGGTGCTTTTCACTACTACTACTGATATTTTTGAGAAATTAAGATAGTTGTGATGTTTCTACCATCTTTTCTAGATCTTCAGCCCCTGGGCTTTCAATACGGGAGGCAGACTGAAAGATGTGGTTTCTGCTGTTATATTTGGCAGACAGAAATTCCTTGAGATGCTTTTTCCAAGAAAAACCTTTTCTTCCACCTTTGAAGCAGCTGTTTGGAACAGAAGTTCATTGGCAGACCCAGAGATGCCCTGGCTTAGCAACTCTTTTAAGACAGATTTGTTTCAAAGGGATTTCCACTCCTGTTTCCATAATCTCATCCTACTTCTCATGCTTCAAAAAAGAAACTAAAAAGATTTAAAGCTTGTTTTATCATTATTACATAGACATTTAAAAAAGAGTAATAAACTTCCCTTGATTTAAGTGGGAGAAGAGTTAAACTAGTGAGAACTGCTTTCAGAATTCCTCCTCTGTTTATCTCCATGTTCATTCTGGTCTTTTTGCCCTTCACTTTTCTGATGAAAGATACCATGGCCTTATTGGAATCACAGGACTGTTGAGCACCAAGACAGGGACCAGGGAGTAAAGTAATTTTTGTGCATGCAGTTTGATCCTCACCAAACAGGTACCAGGAGTTCAGTTAGAAACAACTTTTGCAAGGTTTATTCAAAAGCTCTGTACAAAACATAGCCCTACAAGCTCAATAAACAAAAATGTCTTGATTTTCTGTATGTCTTACACACTCATACTGACTGAGAGCAAGAAAATGCTCTAAGCAAAGTGCTTCAACTGTTTATTTACAAAAGAATTCCTGCCTGGCCAAGTTTATTTAGTAGACTTTTACTATCACAGTTCATAATTAGGGAGGCACACAGAGAAATAAAGATAAGACCTTCAGCTGTTGTAACACACTTTTTTAAAGAACCTGTATTATCTTAGGTGTCTATTAGAGAAATACTGTTCAGCTGGAAGGGAAAAAAAAGGGGGGAGCATGTGTCTACTTCCATTGTGTAACAATGGAAAAGCCTGTTGATGCCAAAGTAAGAAAACTGGAGAAAAGAATCATGTAAGCATGTTAGTTCTACCTCCTGAGTCTGGCAGTATCATTCATCAGAGATTCCTGAAGAAATCACAGTTGTATTTGCTAGTGTTTATGTAAAAATACTTCAGTCTATACTAGCAGTTCACCAATTGTTTTACAGAATAAACAAAAAGCAGGCAGTGGGATTTCGGAATGCAGTAAGGCAGCGGAGGACCTAGATCTGATAACAGAACATGGAGTTTTGTTTGAGTGCTCTCCTGAAAACTGGACTGATCAGAAGAAACCACCACCAACAATGAATTACTGGGTTGTGGGGTGAGTTTAAAGACAAATCTATTTCTCCCAGAGTTTCCCATTTTGAATATGCTACTTGTATTCTTTGAGAATTAATTTAACTGGAGCGCATAACAGAAATACTTGAGCTGAGTGAGGTGGCTTGGATTTGGGATTTGGGAAGTTGCATTGGGGTGGTGTTGCACCCACTGCAAAGCATAGGTGTGTTAGTCAACTCAGGGGAGCACCACACCATGCTGCACTGTGCGGACATGCGGGAGTTCTGTCATAATCCTCTTTAGACCCTTCCCTTGCGCTCCTCGTGCACATCTTGACCTCTCCATTCCCTCCAAGTCAGTCCCAGCTGTCTTGCCTCCACACACAGCGCTGATTCAGTGATACAAAGAAGGAAGGTGAACAATGGTAGTGGTTGGTTGGGGTTTTTTTTCATTGGGAAGATTAAACCAATCTCCTGGTAGATTGGAGGGATTTTAGAAAGGGTGTTTTCCTTCCTCGGTTTGCTTCCAAAGTTCTGCCATTATCGTTGTAAATGGATTGTGATTCGTGATGGTGTTTAAACTTGATTTTAAGTGATTTTTATTAATGATGCATATAGTTATTGCTACATAGCTAAGCCTTATTTGCATGACAGAACAGCATACTGCCCTAGGCATTAAATATTAAAAATAATACATTTTTGAACTAATTAAAATCAGGTGTAATGAGAAAGTAGTGTGTGTCGTTTCTTCACAACTCAGAATGTATCAGAGCTTGTAATTCTGTAAGTCCAGGCCAGTAAGCCCTATTCTGTAGCCAGTACTTCTCCTATATTGCTCTTTCTTCCATCTAACATATTTTGTGCTGTCTACATTTTAGCTGCAGTAAGTTGACCATCGTATTAGGAGTAGTCAGGCAACAGCATGTTTTCTTTTCTACGTTTACTTTCTCTATTTGGTATTCCTACTAAATAAATAGAGAGAAAAATGCAAATGGCCAGTTAAATGGAAGTTGTGCTTTCACCATACGAAAATAAATTCAGTACAGGCAAGGGCTGAAAGGAAGATAAATGATTACGCTCGATTAATTGATTAAGTTATAATTTTCTACTAGTTCAACTATAGCACAAATAGGAAAGTCAGAAAACAGCAAAATATATTTCTCAAGATGGTGTAAGAACTTTTTTTTCTGCTACAAGGTAAGGAAACATCACCCATGGGTGATTATATTGGCCAGGAATAAGAATGTAGAAATTCTCTGACAGAGCTTTTGTTCAACCTGTTTGCCTTCAACTCAGATGTTTAAAGAGAAAGAAGAAAACCAGTTCTTTCCCACCATGTATGTACATAACTGCAGTTTGTATTACCAACTTCCCTATTTAGCTCTTCCCCTAAAAGAGCTTATTAGATTAACCTGTGAGAATGTACCTACCCAGATGTACTAAGCCTAAAAGTCAGTAAATACGCGAATACTGGGGCTTGCTCCCAAGTACCCTGATTGCAGGTTGTAACCTGAAAACATGGATTACTGCAAGCACACCAACCAATACCATACAAATAGGTCCTGAAAACCTGAAGTTTCGTCCATACACATGTAGTCAGGAGACACCTGAGCAGAGAATAACTTAATTTTAAAATCTCATGTATTAAAAGAAGTAAGGTGATGCAGGAGAGGCACAGGAACTTCCGAACTGTCTCACACAGTAGTTGCTTTTGACATCTTACTGAAACCCCAGGGTACAACCAGAATGTATCAAACAGTTGAGGAGAAAAAGCTGGCACATACAATAATTCTGGTTTAATTCTTTCTTTTTTTTCCCCAGGAGACGCATTCTGCATCCCAAACCCCAGGAGTGTTATGTCTGTTTCCATGACTCAGTCACAGAAGCTGCTGTGGAACTGGCCTTTAAACTGTCCTTTGGTTTAGCGACATAGATGAGCTTCCTGAACATTGAGCCCACCCCATGGTGTTGTCATCTCTTGAAAGTACTTCACTATAAAGAGAAATTAACTCAATTGTGGTGCCCACCACATCCTTGAAATGCTTTTTAAAATAATAAGTCTACCTTGTGGTAGGACACAGGTAAAACTTCAGTGATGATTCTGATGATCATCATCAACTGAATACTTAAAAAGAATTCAGAGAACCAAAGTTCTTATTTTTATATACTGGTGAATTATTTATCCTGATCATATCTTTATTATTTGAAAACACTGCATAATTTGTACATTCAGTGCTGTTCAGTGTATAATATGCAATGTAAAATGATAAGCTGATAGCCCAGAAGTACTCTCTGAATATCTGGCAGTTGGTGATGGAGGAAAAAGAATGTTTTCCAGTTAATTAAAGCTTTGTTCCCCTGAGGGCACGAAAAACAGTGAATGTTTTCAGTAACACTGTGTTAATCAAAACAGAAAGAAATCTTTCAGACAATTCATGGCGCTTGGCCACCCAAAGCTGATGGCTTACCGGTTTTGCCAGTATGGTCTCCTGCCCGCTCAAGGACCAGTGTGCTTGATGTTTTACTTAACTTCACAAGTTTTAACTATAAATAATACTTATATTTGTTAAAACATAATTTTGAAGGTATAAAACAAAATGGGGAGGGGGGAAGGAGGATAAGGGGTTTAAGATCTGTGCACCGAGTTGGCTTATTTTATATTCAAAATTTCATAATAAAAAATACGTGTTTGTTAGAGACCAAGAAAGCACTATTGGTTTGGGTTTTTTTTTTACTTAACACATCTTCTTTTTTATTTAAGCACTATTTACTTAGCTAGATCTCCACAGTTTACAGCTGGATTTACAAAAAACGTGAGGTTGCATCTGTATAAGGCAGTATGTTTGCAAAATCAGAAGTCTTCTACAAAATTCAGCTTTCCTATAAATTGCTAAAATGTTTGTAATCTACAGACAAGCTGCTCTTAAAGGGTTTTTTTACTGAAGTTTATCTTAAGATGTGAGATTTTTGGGTGTCTCTTTGCCCCCAACCAGCACATTTTTAGATCTGGTCATCTGCACAGCATTTTGTTGGGTTCCATGTCAACAGTGTGTATTTTCTTTTCTTTCTGCTGTTTTTACTTACTTTTCCTGAGCGCTTTTCATAAAATGGATGACTAAAGTTGCTTTTTAAACAATGGGATCAAAAAGTTTAAGGATTTAGGGAAGTAAAGGCAGTCCCATAGGCTCTCATGATCAAATCTGTAGATCTTGTTTTCACTAGTAAATTACACTGTTTAGAATAGTTCTAAAATAGTCAATCCAATTCTTATATCTGCCCACTCCCCCAGAGTGATTCACATCTTGCCTTGAATCACCCACAGTTGCTTTAATTCCAAGCAGTAGTAGAAGTCTTAGGCCTGAAGTTAAAGCTCGTGATTGAAGATTTTGTTAAATCAGCCTTCTCCAACATTGATGGTTCCTAGAAAACAAGCAGCAGAATTTCAGTTTGGGACCTACAAAACTGAGTTACATCAGTAGTGCCTTAGATCTGTTCCTCATCTGTAAATCAAGTGATGGACATTTATTCTGTTTGAAAAATATGTATTAGTATGGATGACATCTGAACAGCACTTTGAAAAGTCTAAAGTCTGTGAGGTTTGAATATTAGATGCCATTGCAGATGGAAGAAAGAACATAGAGAAGTAAGCAGTCTCTGCTGCACTGCTTTTACCCGATTTAACAGCTTTTACAGAACTTGGAAGTGTGTTTGTGTGCAGAAGTGTCCCTGGATGGAAAACGGTGGTTTTGCTCAAGTTTGTCTCTTGTTGGGTTATATGGTTTCAATGCTAAAAAAGAGGATATTTAAATACTTTAAAAAGAAGACAGCTAACTTTTATGTAGATCCTTGTGTTTAGTCGGACAAGGTTACTCTGCTACCAGTGTACTGGGTTGAATTCAGCTGGGCCAAACACACAACTGAATCAATGTGGAAGAAACAGTGTGAATATGTAGATGTGTGTGGAGAAAAGAACAACTGAAGGAGTGTGACTCCCTCAAACCCAAAGGCTATTTAGACTGGCTTGCTCCTTCACAAGAAATTAAGGGCATCTGAGTATAGTAAAATCTTTATACTTAAAGCAGTGTAGTTCAGCAACAAAACACTGCAAAATTTGCATTAATCATGTTGATACTCCACTTCAGGAGATTTTCGGTGGTTACTTTGTTAGTCAACTGAGCAGAGACTCTGTTTTGCAGATTTTTTTAGGAGTATGTTTAAAAAAAGCCCCAAAGGATGACAGGATTTCATTTCCCACAGAACACAGACTTTTGTCAGGTATCTTGGATACGAATCTTGTAGCTTTGTAATTTTCAGAAAGATTATAGACACTGTGAATCAGTGTCTGGAATTAATGTTAAAAGGAAGAGATATGGAGAAGCTACTAAAGGAGTTAAAACGGTAGCATTAAGACTCACTGCTTAGCAAAGTCTAACACTGCCATTTTTTCTCATAATCCACATACACTTGGCTCCTGCACTACCTCCTCAGCTCCATTTTGCTTCTTATTCTTGAGTCCAACGGGATTCTTTCTTTAATTTATAAGAATATCATTACAGAAGCACTGTCAAGTTTGATACCTGTATAAACCCTTCATTATCGCTTTAATATGGAGCGTGAGCACCCCCTGTTGAAGCAATGAAGAAATAGGCGGCTACTGCGGGAAAACTTACACAGTTCTCCAAAATACTCTTCTATTCTGCAGTTGCCAGCAGGTATCCCTAGTCTTCAAAATGTATGAAGTAAGGAAGTTGACAATCTGACATATTTCCCAGCATTACTGATGTTTCACCTGCAGTTCTAGAGTCCATCATGCTAACACACAATGCGCACACCTTTTGGTAAGTGGCAGAATTAATCCAGATTTCAAGTACCAAATGCCTGAAAAATCAATGACCTGAAAAGGAGCACTTCTGACCTTCGTTACAGCTCGTACTAAAGTAGAAACAGTAGAAGGAATATTGTATAATATACTTGGTGTAATGTAAACTTTGGAAACGCTATTTTAAATATCCATTTCATTTTCTGTGCGATTTTTCAGTGTTTGGCACGGTAATTTGCCAAATGTTAGACAGAATTTCCCAACACAGGCTCTAAACTTTGCTTTTAAGGACTAATGCAAACAGATTTTTGTGTCCAAAGTGGATAAACAGGTAAATAATGTCTTGCATATTAGTTCTGTTTAAGAAACAAACTAGATGTGGTCAGGAGCTGTGCAATTCTGTCACCATGGTTGGTAGTCAGTAGTAGGACATCGATGAGATTTTGTAATGGGCTTGTTTTATAACAAGAGGAAGCACAAACTTGGTTACTGTGGAGCTTGCTGTTGAAAGTAATGAAATCTGAGCTTTGATCTTCAATGGTTTTGTGAGGTGCATGTACCTACCTAACTGCAGTCAGAGTTTTCAAAGTTGGGTTCGGGATGTGTAATTCCTTTTAAGTTAGTTGGTCCAAGTATTAAGATGGGTATTAAAAAGCCTGGATTCAGACACCTATGTTTCTGGGCTTTGTCAAAAAGCCTAATTGCATTTTCACAGATTGCATTAACTGGTACTCTAGTCTCATCAACCTTTATGCTTGTGATTTCACTCACGTGCAATTACAGCTGCGTTTATTCTCATGGGTGAAGTTCTTGTGTCCCTCAGCCAGGAGTCTCTCATTTTCAGTTTTTTCACATTATTTTTGTTATAAGCATTAGCATGCAAGTGTCCCAAAAAACTTAGAGATAGTAAAGTGCATATTACTGCTGTAGATAAGTGATACTTCACACTGAAAACTTATTTCTTGCTACATGTAAAGCTAGAAATGTGTTTACCAATGATTAAATCATTGTAAGAACTTAGTTTAGTACAATGCACCAGAAAGGGAGCAGGTTTAGGTTATAGCTTAAAAGGCAATTAAGCTTTTGGGCTATGCTGCCTTACCTTGCAATTTGGTGTACTTAGGACACGTTCCCTAACTTGGATGGATTCTTAAAAGATACAGAGGAATACACCCATGGAATTAATTACGAGAAATTGGAATGTGTCTTGGAATGTGAAATGTTGATATTGGCAGTTGACAAATTACATAAAATTAATTCATATCAGCAGAATGGAAAATAAGCGCTTCGTATGTAATTTGTTGTGATGTGAAATGAGCTGAAAATCTGCTTTATCTGGATTAGGATTTCTTTGGTTAGGTTTTGATAATTTAAACAGAAGTCCAGTGTTCTGTGCTTTTCTTATTGGCAGTTTTTTCATGCAATGCCAGAACCTTTTTGCCACAGGCTTTTTGGGTGCTTTTTGGGTTCCTCCTGGGTGGTGACCAGGCGGAATGCTGTCTATCATTAAAGTTTGATTAATCTCCTTGTATAGCACGCGAATTCTTAAGCGGTCTATTTTCAGTTACATGTATAATTGCATTTTGTATGTAAAGAGTTTAAGGTTGCTGTTTTCTTTCTTTTCTTCCAGTGGAAAAAGTATAAATCGTGCATGATGTAAATAACACAGTGTTCATAGTTCTTCGAATGTCTTTGCCATCTCCTAGAAGTGTTTCCAGACGGTTTACATGTGTATGAGCTTGTGACTCAAATTTTAGAAACCTTCCATGAATAGCACTCAAGATGAATTTCTTTAGAAGTATAGTATTTAGCAAAGTAGCAATTCCACTGCTGAAGCTCAGGGTGTTTGGATGCTTTCTTATATTTTGTGCAGGGTGGGACATGGGGAAGACACTATGGGTATTTGTGTTCGATCCTGCTCAGCTGGATTATCTTTAAAACAAATAATTACTAAAACCTTTAGATTGTAAAGTACATGGGCCTTCTCTTAAAGAAGACAGGTTTTATCTACATGCCAGGCACAGTGTTGAAGGTAGTACTGGCGCAGCCAAGCATCTTCAGGTTGCAGCTGCCCTCTCTGCTGCTTCTACAACAACTAGCAACTGTTCATGCGG